AGTGCTATTCCAAAATTTATACAAGGCTAAGTTCAGAATTTTGAGAATAACTTTGACTTCTCAAAGTCCAATTTTGTCTAACTCCCTGAATTAGTAAAAATTTGGGCAGCACTCCCTCTAGAAAATGAGACTTTCCAGATTTATACTAATCCATATATGGAAAAGACAAGCTGAACTCTGACAAGTCAAAAGTTGTTTAACTTCTTGGATTTGTAGAAATTTCGGCAGCGCTTCCCGTAGGAAAGGTAGCTTGCCAAGATTTATACAAAGCCAAGAATAAGAAAAGATTTAAGAAAATGCAGGAATCGATCTAAGTAAAAAAAAAATGTTATTATAGAAAATGCAGGAGTTGACACTAACTTCTATGACTCTAGCACATGGAGAGCAACTAAAGCAACTACCTATTAAAACTGAAACCCAAACAAACTAGTCATCCCATCCAGTCACATGCCAACCAACCCACCAATGTAAGTACTCTCACCACCCCAAGTTTTTTGCATATAGATAGTTCATGGATCTCCAAGTTCTTGAACCCTTATACCCATCTTACATTAAGACATAGAGCTGGACCATTCGCCATGGAAACAATGCCCAACTTGCCTTCACGATATACACGAACAGGTTGCACAACTACTTCTTTATTCTTTTGGGCAGGTGACTAGGCCATTCGCCATGGAAACAATGCCTAGTCGCCCTGAGCTGTTTAATATCCAAAAATTTAGTATTTCTCTGACTTTGTTTTCAACAGAAAAAACAAATATGGGCAGGGGGCTGAACCATTCACAGTAGAAACAATGTTCAGCTTGCCCAAACTATTTTCATTTGTACTTAGTATTTTCATTTTTCTCTTCTTAATGATATGGCTTAACGCCGGACCATTCACAGTAGAAACAATGCCCAGCTGCCAGTTCACATGCAAATATACATAAAATACTTTCCTTTATACTTAGTTTAAATTATGTGCGTGGTTTTCAGGCTAAACCATTCACCATGGAAACAATGCTTAGCCTTAGACCAAAAATCCTCCCTCAGAATAAACAAGAATTTAAACCCCTTGAATCAGACAACCCTCAGAGTTAACTAAGGTAGCCAGCCCATTCACAGTAGAAACAATGCCTGGTTCCCCAGAAAACAACTAAATAAAACATAGCAACCAGGCCATTCACAGTAGAAACAATGCGTGGTCCTTCAGAAAACAGCCAAATAAACATAGCCCTGAGCCATTCACAGTAGAAACAATGCTCAGGCTTTGGTTGACCCGGTCAAACACATGCAGTCTACCTTCCTTCCACCTCCCCCCCCCAGTTCATCCTTAGTCTGCTTTCAATCAGAACAAAGTAGAAACTTAGGCTTCACTCTCACACATTCTTTCCAGTTAGTCTGATTAGGTCCTGAAGAGAAAGCAAAAACCATAGGGACAATCGCATGCATACAATAATTATACTACAGGGGGATAGGCCAACATGGGTAGTAGTAGGTTGTACAGATGGAGATGGTATACCTGATGATTCCCTGTCTCCAGAACCTCGTCTAGGTTCCGGCAGAGCTCCCGCAATTGGTGGGCGGACTCCCCACAGAGTCTTGATGCGGACCTACGGGTTGCAATCCCGCCTGTCGCCTTCCTCTCAGAACCAATAGACTAGACTTAGAGTAAGAAAGGGATAGAAGTAGAAGGTAGAGACTCTCAGGTACAAGAGAGTTGCACTCAAACTCGCGGGAGAGGGCCTTGATATCTGGGTGCGCCTGAGGGCCCCGCAATGGTAACCAATGTCACAGCTTGGCCAGCCCCTGAAGTCAAACTGTCACGGTCAATCCTCTGCCAACCTCCTAAACCGCAGTACCAACCTCCTTTTTCTCGTCCAGCCTGACCACTTCCCTAAGTTTCAAGACCTCTCCCTGGCTCACTCGCAGCTGCCTGACTGCCTACAAATTGCAGGAGTTAACACTCACTCGGGGGTAGTGGGTAGCCATACACAATGACCAATCAGTAGACGTCCCCTATAACCGACGGGAGTACTTGCCACAACCCGTGGTCAACAGTCCACAATCTTTCACCGCAGTCCACAGTCCCCTACGCTGTTTACTGTTGGCCGCCCTGCCCCTACACAGCCCGGGAGGGGTCGCCTTTCACCCGCTGGGGTGTTCTGCTCACGYCGGAACACAACAGCAGCCTCTAGCAGCTGCACGAAGCCCRAAGGTTAGTSACACCGCCCATGTAYCAGTGAGCTYCGTGCACCACAAGAAACCGATACCGCAACAACTTGCAACGTTGAATCAGTATAAGTCGGGACGGTGCGCACGATCACTGCCTCCTCTTATCTGAAGTGTTATCAACAGCTTAGTAATGGCACATTGCACCCTGCAATGACGGGACCAGCCGGACGCACAGTACAGCCCACCAGTCTACAGGCAAGTCTCATCTCTGGGTTGCCTCGTCATAAGAACTCTCGCCCTCGTTGAGTTCGTTCCAGACTCTTCGCTGCTCGACAGCCAAAGGGTGCCGCCTTAGTCGAGTTTCGGCCACTGGGCACGACACACAACCACGCTCGGACAGACACCAATGAGCACGCCCCTTCCTACGGGCGCCTACAGACTCACAAAGGAGCCCCTACTCTGTTCCCCTCCGCAGACTCATCGGTCAACAAGTAAGCTTCTACCCTGCGACCGGCTCCCCCCTACTTATTTTGCAGAGAATATGAAAATCAGTCGTAAACGTGGTCAGATTCACCCCCCCCCTGTTCAACCTCCCTTCCAACGCGCAATCCCCTCTTTTTTCTCCGCCACCTCTTTCGTTCTCACCTCGCTCCATCCTCCAGATTCRACTACACCATCCGATTCGTCTTTCCTTCAAGTGTTCATATATATATATATAAAAAGATGAATCTTCCCCAAATCATGGGAAGATTCTCATCACGTTAAAATGGCCCACCACTCGGGCGCAGCCCCCATCTGTCGCAACTCAAAATTTACCCACTAACACTGCAATCTAACACCACAGCCTACTTCGCCTCATCTAAGAACCCCTACCCATCTCTCTCCTTTGCCCGTTTTTCTTTACGGAACGGGTGTTTCGAACGAACTTCCTTCCCGACCGTCGTCCTCCCGCCATAAC